ATACATATTGAAAGTGGGAGCTATTAGCTAGAGTAGATCCGTGCAGAGCATTGTAGACATAGAAATTTGCAAAATACACATACGGATCTGAATGTGGCAGACCCGTTGACTAAAATACTCTCACAAGATAAACGTGATCACACCTTAGTACTCTTTGGGTGTTAATCACATGATGATGTGAATTAGATTACTGACTCTAGTAAACACTAGTGTTGGTCACATGGCGATGTGAACTATGGGTGTTAATCACATGGTGATGTGAACTATTGTTGTTAAATCACATAGCGATGTGAACTAGATTATTGACTCTAGTGCAAGTGGGAGACTAAAGGAAATATACCCTAGAGGCAATAATAAAGTTACTATTTATTTCCTTATTTCATGATAAATGTTTATTATTCATGCTAGAATTGTATTAACCGGAAACTTAGTGCATGTGTGAATACATAGAAAAACAGAGTGTCACTAGTATGCCTCTACTTGACTAGCTCGTTGAATCAAATATGGTTAAGTTTCCTAGCCATAGACATGAGTTGTCATTTGATTAACGGGATCACATCATTAGAGAATGATGTGATTGACTTGACCCATTCCGTTAGCTTAGCACTTGATCGTTTAGTATGTTGCTATTGCTTTCTTCATGACTTATACATGTTCCTATGACTATGAGATTATGCAACTCCCGGATACCGGAGGAACACTTTGTGTTCCACCAAACGTCACAACGTAACTGGGTGATTATAAAGGTGCTCTACAGGTGTCTCCGATGGTACTTGTTGAGTTGACATAGATCAAGATTAGGATTTTTTCACTCTGATTGTCGGAGAGGTATCTCTGGGCCCACTCGGTAATGCATATCACTCTAAGCCTTGCAAGCGATGTGACTAATGAGTTAGTTACGAGATGATGCATTACGGAATGAGTAAATAGACTTATTAGTAACGAGATTGGACTAGGTATTGAGATACCGACGATCGATTCTCGGGCAAGTAACATACTGATGACAAAGGGAACAACGTATGTTGTTATGCGGTTCGACCGATAAAGATCTTCATAGAATATGTAGGAGCCAATATGGGCATCCAGGTTACGCTATTGGTTATTGACCAGAGAGGTGTCTCGGTCATGTCTACATAGTTCTCGAACCCGTAGGGTCCGCATGCTTAACGTTTGTTGACGATATAGTACTATATGAGTTATGTATGTTGGTAACGGGATGTTGTTCGGAGTCCCAGATGAGATCATGGACATGACGAGGAACTCTGGAATGGTCCGGAGATAAAGTTTGATATATGGGATAATAGTGGTTGGTCTTCGGAAGGGTTCCGGAATTCACCGGAAGGGGTTCCGGATGTATCCCGAAATGTTTGGGTACGAGAACACTTTATTTGGGCCAAAGCGGAAAGCCCACAAGGCTTCTGGAAAGTGCAAAAGGAAGTTTTGCGGAGACCAGAGGCTAGACGCCAGCAACCCTAGCGTCTATGGGGTAGACGTCGGGAACCCTAGCGTCTAGCCTTAGAGTCCGTGTAGGACTCTTGCCTTTCGGGAAAACCCGACTTTGAGGAGGCTTCTACTCCAAGTTTCGACCCCAGGGCTCAACATATAAATAGAGGGGTAGGGCTAGCACCAAAGACACATCAAGAAACACCAAGTCGTGTGCCAGCAACCCCGTCCCATCTAGTTTATCCTCCGTCATAGTTTCTGTAGTGCTTAGGCGAAGCTCTGCGGAGATTGTTCTTCATCAAAACCGTCATCACACCGTCGTGCTACCGAAACGCATCTACTACTTCGCCCGTCTTGCTGGATCAAGAAGGCAAGGACGTCATCGAGCTGAACATGTGTTGAACGCGGAGGTGCCGTACATTCGGTACTTGATCGGGACGGATCATGAAGGTGTACGACTACATCAACCGCGTTGATAAACGCTTCCGCTTTGCAATCTTCAAGGGTATGAAGATACACTGCCCCTCTCGTTGCTATACATCACCATGATCTTGCGTGTGCGTAGGATTTTTTTTTTGAAATTACTACGTTCCCCAACAGGTAAGCAATATGACTATTATTGCCCACAACACTTTGTGTTCTACTCGTGCATATAACATCTAGCATAGACCTGGCTCGGATGCCACTGTTGGGGAACGTGGTAATTTCAAAAAATTCCCTACGATCACGCAAGATCTATCTAGGTGATGCATAGCAACGGGAGGGGAGAGTATTATCTACGTACCCTCGTAGACCGAAAGCGGAAGCGTTATGACAACGCGGTTGATGTAGTCGTACATCTTCACGATCCGACCGATCCTAGCACCGAAGGTACGGCACCTCCGTGATCTGCACACGTTCAGCTCGGTGACGTCTCACGAACTCTAGATCTAGCTGAGGTCAAGGGAGAGTTTCGTCAGCACGACGGCGTGATGACAGTGATGATGAAGTTACCGGCGCAGGGCTTCGCCTAAGCACTACAATGATATGACCGGGGTGTGTAACTGTGGAGGGGGGAACCACACACGGCTAAAACAATTGTCTGTTGTACCTTTGGGGTGCCCCCTGCCCCCGTATATAAAGGAGGGGAGGAGGAGGCCCGCCAACAAGGGGCGCGCCAGGGAGAGGGGAGTCCTACTAGGACTCCAGTCCTTGTAGGATTCGGCCCCACCTTTTTTTCCTTCTACCGGAGGGGGGAAAGGGGAAGGAGAGGGAGTAGGAGAAGGAGAGGGGGTATGCTACTTGCCCGAGATTTGATCGTTGGTATCATTATACCTATTTCAATCTCGTTACCGGCAAGTATCTTTACTCGTTCCGTAATACTTCATCCCGCAACTAACTCATTAGTTGCAATGCTTGCAAGGCTTATAGTGATGAGTATTACCGAGAGGGCCAAGAGATACCTCTCCGAAACATGGAGTGACAAATCCTAATCTTGATCTATGCCAACCCAACAAACACCTTCGGAGGCACCTGTAGAGCATCTTTATAATCATCCTTTTACATTGTGACGTTTGATGGCACACAAGGTGTTCCTCCGGTATCCGGGAGTTGTATAATCTCATAGTCTGAGGAACATGCATAAGTCATGAAGAAAGCAGTAGCAATGAAACTGTAACGATCATAATGCTAAGCTAACGGATGGGTCTTGTCCATCACATCATTCTCCTAATGATGTGATCCCGTTTATCAAATGACAACACATGTCTATGGCCAGGAAACATAACCATCTTTGATTAACAAGCTAGGCAAGTAGAGGCATACTAGGGACACTCTGTTTTGTCTATGTATTCACACATGTACTAAGTTTCCGGTTAATACAATTCTAGCATGAACAATAAACATTTATCATGAAATAAGGAAATAAATAATAACTTTATTATTGCCTCTAGGGCATATTTCCTTCAACTGCTGCAGAGGCCGTTGGTGAGATGGTCAGGATGGGGGAGAGCAAGTGCCTGAAGACTACTGTCAAGTTTGCCCGCGTCATGGTGGATGTGTTTGGATCTGAGTATCTCAGAGAATCAAATGTGCAAGACACGGAGAAGTTGTTGGCTATTGGAGAGGCAAGGGGGTTTCCAGGAATGCTCAGATCAATTGATTGCATGCATTAGCAAGGGAGGAACTGCCCCAAAGGTCTGCGGGGAATGTATCAAGGTCACACCAGAGAGGCCGCCATCATACTAGAAGTGATGGCATCACATGACTTATGGATTTGGCATGCTTTCTTTGGAATGTCCGGTTCTCACAACGACATCAACGTGTTTCAACGATCTCCGGTGTTCAGGAGGCTTTGCAATGGGGAATCACTGTCGTGCAACTACATCGTCAACAGCCGAGACTACAACATGGGGTACTATCTTGCCGATGGTGTCTATCCTCAGTGGGCGGTGTTTGCGAAGACCATATCCGAGCCGCGTGGCAAAAAACAGAGCCACTTTGCAACAATGCAGGAAGCAGTTAGGAAGGACGTGGAGACTTGGAGAGGGCATTTGGTATGCTTCAGACTCGTTGGGGAATTGTGCGGAGCGCTGCAATAATGTGAGAATTAGAAACTTTGTGGGAGCTGATGACATGTTATGTTATTCTGCACAATATGATTGTTGAGGATGAGGGTGATGGTGTAGCCCAAACCCATGATTTCGAAGCACACAGGGAACAAGTTGAAATCCCGGAAGATCAAGATGCGGCTCAACTTATGAACTTTCTGCAGATGCATCAGAATCTTCGAGATCAGTAGGTACACACGCAGCTACTCAATGATCTTGTGAAGCACATGTGAATCCACAATGGCAACCAAGGAGGCAATGCTTGAGTTTGACACTTAAAAAAATTATGTAAACACTATCTATGCTTCATACCAACAATTGCTATTTACGTGCGACATTGTGTTGCATTATCAACGTGCATGTATTTGTATGGATTTGAGAGTCCGGATTTGAGATATGTGGATGCCGGAAGGAAATATGAGGGGCGGTCGGGATGCGCCCGCGGACTTTTGTAACGTTTGAGTCCAGCGGAGTGGAGTCAGTTGCCGAACATCTTATCAACTCTCGATTTGGTGGAAGATCAGTCCAGGAGCGTGGGAGTGGAGTGGAAGATTTGAAGGAGTGGAGTGCATCCGAACAGGCCCTTAGAGAACTCGCCAGTTCAGCTCGCTAGATTTGCTGCCGCAGATGGCATATGTCAGATGACTCGAATCCAGCATGACCCAATACAATCACATTGTACGTTGATGTATCAATTACGACAAAACAGCAAACCAACAATTCAACTTGGAGCTTTTACACCGCTCATAGGATGGCAATTGAACAATACGAGCCAAACCAAATAGCACTTCTACATAGTGTACATAGGTTTCCAACCATTTCTAATCAGCTGAATACAACGGTGCACATACATCTTTGTCAAACGTGTATCTATTTTCTGGCAAAAACACTATGAATGTTTTCAGAACATGACAGCAGCTGCGCGCCAGATGCAGAGCTTTTTTACTATACAATTGTGCCACCGTGGCCTTATTCGAGGAAGTTGATCGTACCTCGTGGCAAGCCGGCGTGCATCATGGGAAATATTCCAGACCTACCGTGATATGTACAGCTGAAGTACTGACTAAAAGGGAGTACAATCAAATCGCATGGGCGCACGGTTAAATATGAGTACTCAGCAGTTCTCATCCCTCAGGTAGTCCGGGGGCAGCGATGCACACCTTTCATTCATGTGAGCGTATGGTTCCATGGCGTTGTATCCTGGCAGTTCCATTCGATATCTGCCCTTGATTTGGCAAAACGGGAGCTTCACAGTGTCGTCTTTGTTGCACCACGACGGAAGCCGTGTCATGTTGGCTTCAAAGAAGTTCAGGATGTAAGCATCTTTTATCTGCATGGCAATATGGAATTCACAGGTCATATGTTCATACAAAAAGATGGTGTTGAAGTGAAAGATTATAAAGTCATCCAAATCATTTGGTATTTGCCAGAATAGGCAATGCTGATAGGCCAGCATTTCACTCAATCAGTTACTGAGATAACCCAGCCTTTTTACTGGACGGTTTACCTAATACCACCACCTATAAGCTCATAAAGGCTCACAAACTTAAGAATAAGAATTCAGGATTACTCACCGTGAACTCCGTGACTTCTATAGAGCTGGAAATTGGTTCAAAGAGTCCAGCCTCCTTGTACATCATGAGGACGTAGGCCACACAAGATGCTGATTGGCCATCAGTGTAGACCCAATTATCTTTCTCAGGAATTGTCAGCAATTTGTCAAATGTCATCCCACGTTTCTCTGATTCCACTATGATTTCAGGTAGATCAAGACCCTGAAATAAGTGGCACCGTTACAAAGACTATACTTAGAAAAGAAGATTGCTATTTAGCATGAGAGAATTGTAAAGAACAATGATTTTTTGTGAGCGTAAACAAGGTATGGACCTAAAGGTGAAACTAATATTGTGTCAAAACAAGTTAAGCCTTCAAGGTCAAATTGAATAGTCAACAAAATCAGTTTTAAGCTCCAATATCTCAAGTATAATAGGTCCTCGGTATATAATATTTCTTGAAAAGCCCTCAGTATGGTACCATAGAATATATAATCCTAGAGAAAAGCATTTAGCACACAGATCCTTTATATACCCCTTTGTTCACACAGTAGGTTACAACGAGTGGTTGATAAAATGAAACTAGTACAAGTATCTCCTTATAAAGAGCTGAGAATGTAAATCAATCTGCATTCAATTTTCAACAGGGTTCCATTTCAGAGCCCAACCTGCATTTAAGAGCATTCCAGAAATTTGTACGTCATTCAATCTTGATAGTACTTTACTTTTTATATAACACAGGGGTGCCAAGCCTGTTGTAAAAAAAGTACTCCAATAGAGTGTATGTTAAGTTTTCCAGTAGGCTGTGGGAGAATAAACCAAGTTTGCTCTCTAGTTTCACCTCGGATTTTGTGCACGGGCTGTTGGTTCATGGTATATGCAAGTTACTCTCTCTGCTCTTTTATTCTCTGTCACATCATCACATATCCAACATGGCAAATTATATCGATGATGACACCATCAGTACTGGAGATGCGCAAAATAGATGATAGTATTCAGGTTTATAGGTCCGGAGTAAATGCCACGGTATCAAAGGTTACTACATTTACATTGTCCATATTCCAGCAGGATTGTGGTCACACAAGAGCTTATCGCCACAAACTAATGAATCAGCTAGATGAATTGAACTACCAAAACTGGGGCCAGGTACTACCTAGATAATTAAAAAAAATCACCGGGTGCTGAAGAACCGGCATCAAGTAACCAAACCAAGAACGAACTGTAATAAAAACAGAGCACAGCTATTGGAAGTCAATGACAAATTAAAACAAACCTTCGTTCCCAGCCGCTTGTTAAGGGCTTCTGTCCACATGCTAGCCGCGTAGTCTGGTTGAAGCTTGTTCCACACAGTCATAACAGATGCAACCTAAGTCAATCATTAGATTTAGGTTACTACATTAGGAAATAAATCCTGCGAAAGTGCATAGTCCAATCTCATCGGTAATGCTTAAACAGCGATGATATCTGATACTACAATTTATAAATATGAGAACATTTTGTCTAAGAATTGTGCTACAAGGTTAAATATTAATGTTTTAATCTGTGTCATAAATCGTATGCACCATCTAAGCTATGAGCCTCTGAAAACAAAAGCCGATGATACACATATGAACTAATAAAATAAACATTAGCAAAATGCTCATGGAAAACGTATGCATAAATCATACCACGTGAGCATCCAATGGTGGTGGATAGTTGTTACTTATAGTATCGATCCAACTGAAAATCATATTATGATACCCATAAGGCTTCCCATTCATTTTCTTCGCATAAATCCAAGCTGCTGTCTCATTAAATTTTGCTCGTAAATCTTGACGTAATGGAAGCAATGCAATCTGAGGATTCGAATCATCCTTTGTCGTTTCAAACTCCCACCATTCTTCCCATGGCAAGACAGCAATAATATCTTCTCCCTGCACAACTCTGTTTGTTAGCTTAATTTGCAAGACTGAAACTGATATAACACATGTGACAAGAAATACCCTGCAAATAATTTGGCCCCCGCAGTAATAATTTGTAATTCAAGCAAAATAACATCTAAATATGATTAGCACTTGGTAGTAACATTTCCTTTATTTGTTTTCCGTATAAACGTTGGAAACATTACAGGTAAAAAACAAAGATTGAAGACAGTTTGCAGATATAACTATACCTACAGCCAGTAACAGCAACGAGGACATTATTTTCTGGTGAAATATGCACATTCTACAGAATGCTTTTGAAGTGTGCCCCTCTTAATATGGCTGAAATAACTGACACAGATATACTCCCTCCATTCCTAAATATTGGTCTTTCTAGAGATTTCAACAAGTGACTACATACGAAGCAAAATGAGTGAATCTACACTCTAAAATATGTCTATATACATCCGTATGTGTTAGTCCATTTGAAATCTCTAAAAAGACAAATATTTAGGAACGGAGGGAGTACCGTGCAGTGCAAATTCACTATCTATATTGTCAAATTATTCAATAAAATAACTGATAATTTGAAGCATATAGCAGTTCTTCACTTCTCATCCTTCTAGGCAAAAAGGAAAGGAATTAATTCATTTAGATCAAACTATGGGATCTTACTCAGTAAGACTGATGTAACTAGTTAATCGAAATAAGAAACAGCTAGTATCTACAAGTGTCATTTTATCATGCCTATCACATAGGGTAATAGTTAAAATGTTTGATCTTCACTATTTTTTCAGTTCTGATACAGTAATGATCTTGTACAGGTACCTCCTCATTTTCATGACCAGATTCTCCAACCCACAGCTTTCCTTCAGAGTCCCTCAGGCAAACTGCAGTATGGCCTGCATAAGCTCCGGTAACCCACTTCTCAAGGGTTTCAAAACCACCCCAGCGTCCACGGATTTTTGATAAAACCAAAAAATCTCCAGATTGGATGTCATCAGGATTTAATTCTGAAACCCACGGTTTTGGTCGTTCCTCAAAGGTCGCACCCATATGCTTTTTGAGAAATGCAAGGTTTGCATTCTCACCCCATCCAGTATTTGTGAAAAGAGGGAAAACATCCCAGAGTGCTCTGAGTGTCCCGATTGTTCCTGACGGCATGAGGAAGATGGACACTCCATTATGTTTCACCTATTTTAAGATCACAAAACAGCGCAATTGTATCAACAATGTTAAATGTCAGTTGTAAACAGAACAAGCATCGGTTACTACATAGTACTTACGTAGTCATATTCGGCCTTGCTTTCCCATTCTTTGATTTCAAGGGTATGCTCACGGCCTAGAAAGTAGTAATCCCATGTAACACGGTACGGAGTAGCAAACACATAAAGATCCATACAAGTCCAGCTATGTGCTTTCGTTGTCTACAGAAAGGAAAGGTTAGTTTCAAAATGGTTAGTAAGACAGGGAAGATGTTTGTATAAAGGAGGGAAAAGATAAATACTATTTTAACTTGTACTCGGGGTAGTATTTAGCTTTCTAATCTAAAATCATAAAAAAGAAAGTTGAGCAATAGGCTTTAATTGTGCAACCCACGAACTTAAAAAAAATGAATACTGCCTTTAATCTAATAAAAACAAAGACAACAAACATCATATGGAAGATAATTCTGGCTACTGAAAGTCAGAACACACATGGATTATATGAATACCCAATATAAGTCTCAAGATGCAAGTCGGATTTCCCCCATCATCCTTACGGCATAAAATTGATGAGAACACATGATACCTTGCTCTTGTATGCATTGTACTATGGATAGTATTTAACAATCAAGCAATAGGTTGGAACATCATACTGCCTTTCAATAGTAAGTAGCAAAATAGTTTGCTCTTGGTGTTGTTAGGATTAGAAAATAGTTTGCTCTCTGTGTCGTTAGGATCAGCCTTTGGAACAGTCGTCAAGGGAGAGCCAGTTAATCAGGATAAAAAGTTTGAACCACTCTTCTAGTGGACCCCAGTTGCTGTCAGCATGTAAAAGAATCTATTTGAAAAAAGAAAATATCAACCTTAAGCATCCATGTGGACCTTACTGATTAAAAATCTAACCCATTTATGACTACTTCGAGTTCTCATCGCTGAGAATTGCAATTCCCTATAGTGCAATTATAGCTTACCAATCTAAATGATGACATGATGCTAATAGCCATAAAACATGATAGAACAGTGTATGCACTTTGCGGTGATTATAATTATATTTTTAGCCCAATACGGATAAGGACTAGTTATGTTCCCCACAATTATAAACTAACAGGAACCAAGTTTTGATCACGCAAGGGGACACAACTAAGAAGTATACTAAAAAAAAGCAACAACTACCAGAGTTGAGCAATAATGAAATCAACCCATTTACAAAACCTACAGGCCACTGCTCAAAACTACGAATCCATGTGTTCGATATGGCGATGCTGGAAATACCAAAATCGTGTCAAGATTGTTCGGCACTTATGGATAACAAATTACACCAACTGGCGAGCTCCCCACTACCTCACTAGGGGAGAAAGTGATTCTACCATCCACCCGATCGAACCCAAAAGCGAGTATAATAATAAGCAACGCGAGGTGGGTCTCGCACCGGCGTTCACCTCGAGATGGACCGTGCCGCCCCCGAGGCCCCCGTCGGTCCCGTTGGCGTCGCGGAACTCCATCCACGCCCGGTTCTCGTAGAAGCATGCCCCCTTCCATTCGGCGGCGCGGGCGCCGTCGCCCCCCGGCACGCGCGCGGCGCCGACGAAGGCCGGCAGGAGGTCGGCGGGGCCCCGCAGCGCGAGGCGGCGGAGCAGCGGCCGGGCCACCGGCCACGGCAGGAGCGGGAGGAGATCGCCGGGGAGGAAGAGCGGCCCCTTCAGCAGGAGCTGCGGGAGCGTGCCGCGCGAGGCGGCGAACAGCAGGGCGGCGACGAGGAGGGGGAGGAGGAGGAGCTTGAGCCTGGAGGCTCCCATGGCGGGGGCCTAGGGTTAGGCCGCCACCGCGCGAAGGAATTCAGATGCGGGACTGAGGCTTGAAACAAAGGGAGGAGGAAATTCTGTGAGGTTTGCAGAGGTTTGCTTGTTGGTAGCGGCTCCTCGCTTGTTGCTTCCGTATCGAGTTGACCGTCATGTTGCGTTGCGTGCGCCTTGCTCGAGGTAACAACAACGACGGTTCGAGGCTTGCGATGCTGTTTTGCTCCACTTCCATTTGATCACGCTTCACAAGACGAACCAAAAATGGTTTGCACATATTTCTGGCATATTCTGAGGATATACACTAGTACTGTCTGTCTTGTTTGCATAAAAAAAGTGGAGTAGTAGGACACGGCAGTTGAGGATGCAGTTAAGTGGCGCGCGTGTCCCTCTCGCAGCCACGATGCATTTTCATTTCTATCCGCAACCACGTGGGAAGATAAATAAATAAATAAAGGAAGGAAGTAAAAGCCCGTCTCCCGATCTTGGTTCAGAAAAACAAAAACAATCCGGAAGTAAAAACAATTTGAGGAAAAACCTATCCGGAAGCAAGCTCTGCGGCAGTTCGTGGCGACCGTGCTCTACGGCGGACTTTGCGGGAAGCACCGTGCCGTACCTTGAGGTGGACCGTGCCGCCGCCGTACTTGGAGCCGGAGTCGTTGTGGAAGGACAGCCAGGCCTCGTTCTCGTAGAAGCAGGCTCCTTTCCAGCCCACCGGCGCGGTGCCCGCCTGCGCCGGCCCGGCCGTCGCCGCGCCCACGAACACCGGGAAGATGTCCGACGCGCCGCGGAGCGCACGGAGGGCCGCCATCGCGACGCGCCTCGGCAGGAGGGGCAGGACGTCCGCGGGGCTGAACGGCAGGGCGGTGAGGATGCCGCCGCTGCCCGCGCCCCACGGGGCGCCGCCGTCGTCTGCGCCGGAGGGGCGGAGGAGCAGCACGGCCGCGAGCGAGGCCGAAAGCAGCAGTAGAGACACGGCGGCGAGCTTGGAGACTGCCATGGTGGTCTGCGGTTGGGGGGAATTTGATCTCGGAGCTTTTTTTATATGCGGGGAGGCTGGTGGTGTCGGTAACGCACTTCCGTGTCAAAAATGGCCAGCCAGCACGGTGAATACAGGTTACAGGAGCGGTGTTTGGTAGGAGTACGTAAATGTTTGGGTTGTACCGTGTGGCTCTGGGTCCTGGAATGGTTTCACCGTCCAATAGAAAAGCTTGCACTTAATGATACTCCTTGATTACTCTAGTTGTGTGGGGAAGATGTCAATTTAACCGTAAACACACTTGCAAAACGTCTGCTTGCAAATAAAGACTTTTTAGAGGTTTTGAGGAGTTGAGGAAAATTTGAGCCATGAGATTTTTCTTTTTCTTTTTTGTGGAAAAAAGGTTGAGGTCATATATTAAGTATCACAAGTTCTTACGAATACACACTTACAGAAAAAAAAATACATCCAAATTCTTAGGGGTGCCAAAATCGTCTTTCACATGCATTAGAGACGGCCTGCTGTGAGCTTGACTTTTGGTTGGGCCTCCGCCCTCGACGGAGCACATTTGTTCAAACCCCTTATAGAAGCAGCTTCGCAACTACTTTCTCCTTCGAATTTATTTGGCCCTTAGTATATGTATTACAATGATTTTTTTTAGAAACACTTCTCTTTGCAATTCACATCTACTTTCTCCGTCGGAATTTATTTGATCCCTTATTATTTTGTGTCAAATTTTGACCTCATATACAACTAGCAAAATATAATTGTATACCACAAAAACAGGATCTTTGCAAAATTCTTTCAAATACTAATCTGGCATATAAATTATATTCTAGCATTAGATCTAGGGTCAAAATTTAACACAAAATACGAGGGGTCTAACAAACAGAACGAAGGAAGTAGCACTTAACACCGAAGAAGAATTTGAGACAATGCTTTATTTCCGCCTTAGTGAATCCCAGTTCAACATTAAAACTATACGAAAAAGCTAACGAGTGAACGTCAGATATCAAGGTTTTTCGAGTGAACGCTATTGTGGCCATCGGGTGTCTTGCACCAATCTTGGCGCATGGACGGCTATGTCAACCCCGGCAATAATTCAGTCGAGGCATTCCTCGCGCGAACGACAACATACCCTCGTGCAGCCTTATCCTTAGAGCGACAAGTGGAGACCACTCCCTTCCTCCTCCTCGTCTCGCGTCATTCTACATTTTGCTCTCCGTCGTTGCCCCCTTCATCTCGCATGTGCGAGCCCCTGCAACAAGGTAGTAGCGGGTGGCCGTTGTGGGGTGGACGCATGGATGGAGGTATCGAAGCTGCCAATGTCGGGGGCACGCTCGAGGCTGTCGCTACCGCGGTTGTTGCTGCTCACCTTCGACTCCATCTTCAGTCGAATCAAGCCATGTGTATGTGCAGTCTCTCGGTGACGCGCGAATCGATGACTCTTGTCTATGTATTCCCCCCATCCCACACCCTGATTTTTTTGATCTTCGTGTTCAATTTGGGATTCCTTGTACCTGTTTAGTTTGAGCTCTGCCCATTTTATACCTATGGCTTCTTAGCCGAGAGCAGGGAGAGAGGAAAGAGAACACAAGAAAACGGAGGCAAGGAATTTTTCTCTCGTCCCTGGCGGCTGGAACCCTAGCCGCCACCAGGAGAGCCCATCTTTCAGTGCCGTCCTTCGGCGGCTCCCCTCCACCGGTGACCTCGATCGTCGATGGTGAGGGGGGTCGCCGGATCCACGTGCGTGGATCATTTTTACTCTCTTGTAGTATTGGTTTTTAGACTGTTCATCGTCTTGCACTACAAAAGAAAGACACATCTGTAACATTATGGGCCCAACAAAAAAAATTACTGTCATGCTTATGACACTTCTATGACGATAATTGTGACAAGAACACATATCATCATAGATGTGGTGGGCTCCTACTTCTATGACAAAAAATCATGATAGAAAATGGGCTTTTCGTCCTGGGCAGGTCGGGGATGCACTTGCATGACATTCTTTGGGTCGTCCATGACGGAAAAAATCATGGTAGAAGCGAGGGCGAGAAAAATTTCGGGGAGTTCCAGTTACGGTGGTGGTTGGGGCCGAGCGATGCACGGAGGTTTGCGTGTTTCTCTCATATATGTACACGTGTGTGTGCAAGGCGTTGGGATCTAACTGAACCGGAGCGAGGCGTTCGCTTACTGAACCCGAGCGATTGTACTAGCTATGTTACTGAATCCGAGTGATCGATCCCTTGGCTGTTATCTGAACCCGAGCGATTCCTTCGCTATTGCTGCTAAATGAAGCCGATCGAACCTGCCTCTTGATGAACAGTGACCATTGTTGGGGTTGGATGAACAGTTCCCGGTGGGGGTTGGACAAACAGGACCCTGTGGTAGTAGGCCGTTTCTGCTGGATGAACAAGACCCCTAGGAGGCTGCCACACGGGAGCCGGTTGGGGGTGGATGAACAGGCCCCCATGGAGGGATGGTTGAACAATAGCCGGTGGAGGCTGGATGAACAATAGCCTGTGGATGAACAGTAGCTGGTGGAGGCAGGAGGAAACGTGGTGGATGAACAGTAGCAGGTGGAGACTGGAGGAAGTCGTCAATGGATGTAGCCCATGGAGGCTGCAGCGAGGCAGTAGACGGTGGATGAGCATGACCACATTTTGACCATAGGGGCTCCAACAGAAGTTTGTTTCCTCCATTTTGCGGTACGCCACACCCTTTCCGGTGAACAGGACCACGTCTCGGCCGTACGCAGTCGAATAGAAAGAAGACAGTTTCATCCGTTTCGTAGTATGCCAGACCTTGTTTCGGATGTTCCGTCCAAGCTGGTTGACTCCCGATGAACATGACGTATTCCGACCCAGTCGGTTGCCTCCCGATGAACACGAGTTGTTTCCTCCGTTCAGACCCAACCGGTTGGCTGCCGACGAACGGAACGCCATCGCTACCGTCCGTATGCATGAGTAGGCATTCGAGACCCCGCTCGTATGTACGTACGTGGCTGTAGCTTTTGGCATGTGGATGTACGTATGTGTACATAGTTTAAAAGGGACTGGCTGAACTGCTACGTCGGGGGCTCTACTACTACACATGTCGTTGCTTGCTCGGCCATGGTTCATCATTGCAGAGAGACCGATCGACCAGTATGTACATACACGTTCACGACCAGACAGACAACGCAACACACGCTTCGACCAGGTGGGTCCCAACTGTCAGGGAGGATAAGGACGCACTTCCTTCCGTGCGAAGATATAGATGGTGGGTCCGAGCTGTTAGGGGGAGGATTCATTTTTTTGCGTGTAATAAGGAGGCACATCCTTACGTGAGAAGATGTAGCTAGTGTGTCCATCTGTCAGCCTCACCGCGTACAATTCTCTTCGGATGGCTATCGTTAGTTGACCACGTTGACCACGCCGCTCGGACAACACCCAGGTGGTGGAAGATGGCGAGCCCTAGGAAGGGAATGACCTGGAGCCAGGGAAGACGAGGCAGGTGGATGCCCAAGCGGAGGAGAGTACGAGGGTTCACCAGTTCGGCTGCGGTGTGAGGCTGTCATCGCCGGAGAATAACAGGAGGTGTTGGTGAGTAGAGGAATGGCCTGGACGGCGATGGGAGTAGGATGGGCCGGTGAGGCCTGCACAGTAGCACAGCCGGCGATGGGAGGCGGTAGCAGGCGGTACCTGATACGTCTCCAACGTATCTATAATTTTTTATTATTCCATGCTATTATATTACCTGTTTTGGATGTTTATGGGCTTTACTAAACACTTTTATATCATTTTTGGGACTAACCTATTAACCGGAGGCCCATCCCAAATTGTTGTTTTTTTGCCTATTTCAGTGTTTCGCAGAAAAGGAATATCAAACGGAGTCCAAATGGAATGAAACCTTCGGGAGATTTATTTTTGGAACAAACGCAATCCAAGAGACTTGGAGTGGACGTCAAGAAGCAACCGAGGCGGCCACGAGGGTCCAGGGCGCGCCCTAGGGGTGTGGGCGCACCCCCACCCTCGTGGGCCCCTCGTGGCTCTCCTGACCGACTTCCTTCGCCTATATATATTTACGTACCCCAAAAACATCCAGGAGCACCACGAAACCCTATTTCCACCGCCGCAACCTTCTGCTCCCGTGAGATCCCATCTTGGAGCCTTTTTCGGTGCTCTGCCGGAGGGGGAATCGATCACGGAGGGCTTCTACATCAACGCCAAGGCCTCTCCGACGAGTTGTGAGTAGTTTACCACAAACCTTTGGGTCCATAGTTATTAGCTAGATGACTTCTTCTCTCTCTCTCTCTCTCTCTCTCTCTTTGAATCTCAATACAATGTTCTCCTCGATCTTCTTGGAGATCTATTCGATGTAACTCTTTTTGCGGTGTGTTTGTCGAGATCCGATGAATTGTGGGTTTATGATCAAGTTTATCTATGAGAACTATTTGAATCTCCTCTAAATTCTTTTATGTATGATTGGTTATCTTTGCAAGTCTCTTCAAATTATCAGTTTGGTTTGGCCTACTAGATTGATCTTTCTTGCAATGGGAGAAGTGCTTAGCTTTGGGTTCAATTTTGCGGTGTCCTTTCCTAGTGACAGTAGGGGCAGCAAGGCACGTATTGTATTGTTGCCATTGAGGATAAAAAGATGGGGTTTATATCATATTGCTTGAGTTTATCCCTCTACATCATGTCATCTTGCCTAATGCGTTACTCTGTTCTTATGAACTTAATACTCTAGATGCATGCTGGATAGCGGTCGATGTGTGGAGTAATAGTAGTAGATGCAGAATCGTTTCGATCTACTTGTCGCGGACGTGATGCCTATATACATGATCATGCCTAGATATTCTCATAACTATGCATTTTTCTATCAATTGCTCGACAGTAATTTGTTCACCCACCGTAATACTTATGCTATCTTGAGAGAAGCCACTAGTGAAACCTATGGCCCCCGGGTCTATTTTCCATCATATATGTTTCCTATCTATTTTATTTTGCAATCTTTACTTTCCAATCTATATTATGAAA